TGTCCGTCTCTAGTCGCATGCTACTGGGGGCCTGGCCTCTGGGGTAGTCAGCCTGGCCTCGTGCGGGGGGGTGGGGGAGACAATACTGCTTGCCTGGCCCCAAGTCATGACCCCCACATCTACTCTCAGGGAAGTGGGGTTCAGCCTGGGGGCTCCCCTGACAGGCCCGCCTTGTTGGGGCCCTGCCCCTGCCCTGTACTTTCCAGGCCGGGGCCTGTTCAGGCTGGGGAGGCCCACTTCTCCACCCACTCTCCTCTCTGGCCAGACTCTGGCCATCTGGAAAAGTCGGTGGGCCACCTTTCCTGGTGCATGGGGCCCTGCTCAGGCTGTCCTCCCTGACTGCCCGTACATCCCACAGTTGGGGAAACCATGGCAACATTAACAGAGGAGGTCCTGACCTCCTCAGCCCGTCTGCAGGGAGCCCTGGGTCTTTACTGCCTGAGAAGCTCTGTCAGAGCCAATGGGCCACTCCCCGCGTGTAAGAGCCTGTATGGAGGTGTTGTTACGGTGCCTGTTAGTTACAATCACAACGATAACGGTCCCAGCAAGTGCGCAGTGAGCACCTACTATGTGCCAGTTGCCATGCTAAGTTCTCCATGCTCCTTAGCACACTTTGTCCTCACAGCAAGTCCTGAGAGAGTGCCGCAGAATCCCAGGGATTACGTGACCTGCTCTGAGTGGCAGAACTGGGCATGACCCTCGGGTGCCTGACTCGAAGCCCCAGCTTTTAAGCCCCTTGTCGCCCTGGTGCTGTCACCTCGCTGATAATCAGTGTTTATAGCCTCCAAGAGGGAGCCGAGCTCCCACAGCTCGTGCACGGCAGAACCAGGATTCCAGCCGGGCTCCCCCTGACCGCTCGGCCTGCCTCCCTACAGCACATTCGGGGAGCGGGTGGGGGAGGTGCGGGGGAGGCCCGTCTTTTGTTCTGTGCTGGATTCTTCCTCACAGAATGCTGTGCCTCCTCAGAGCACCGAGCTAGGTCAGGGGCGGCTCCCCCAGGAATGCGCGTGGCCAGAAGCAGCTTCCCAGGCTCCTGCTGTCCCTGCCGGGACAGGGACTGTCTACCTGTGTATTCGGGGAAGCAGATGGTTAGCGGGGACTTCTTGATCTTCTCTTCAAATATGTCCTTCTTGTTAAGGAACAGGATGACGGACGTGTCTGTGAACCATTTGTTGTTGCAGATGCTGTCGAAAAGCTTCAGGGACTCGTGCATGCGGTTCTGCAACAGAGCGGAGAGGCAGGTGAGGGCTGGCAGTGCCCGGGGCCCCTGCTCCCTGCGGCCACCGACACAGCGCACCAAGCAAAGGAAAGGCCCGCCGACGTGGCCGACCACGCCACCAAGGGATGGAGATGGGAGAACCCGCAGGACAAACGGGACACGCTCCTTACTTCATTCCACACGCAGGCAGGCTGGGGCAGAACAGGGTGGGCAGGGCGGGCGGGGAGTGCTGCCCACCCTCCCCACCCCTCCGAGGGCCGCCCTGGGATGGGGCAGCAAAGTCCCCCCGAGGGGCTCCAGCCCATGGAGAGGACATGCACCATGCACGCAGGGGGTGGGGGCAGCACCACCATCCAACACGTCTACACGGAACCACGGGCCATGCAGAGTTCTCTACCGGGGTCTCATTCGGTTTCACCAGCGGGGGTGGGAGGGTGCACGCATTCCTTTGGGAAACATTAACCGAGGACGAGGAGATCCTCGAATTAATCCAGAGTTGGAAGCAGACACCAGGGGGACAGCGTCTGGGGGGTGATCTTGCTGTGGCCTTGGTGTAGTTGGGGGATCGAGTTGGTTGGTTGGGCCGCGGCTGGGCCGGCGGCGGCTCTGGGTGAGCTAGTTGTTGGGGCTGGTTTCTCAGTAGAGTGGCCAGAAGAACCCCAAGAAGAAACCCAGCAAAACAGATTAACATGGAAAGGAAGATAAAACCCCAGAACACAGGAGGAAAAGAGAGAGGAGAAAACTGAAATATTGGTTCCGCCAGTCTTGGGTCTGGGGAGTCAAGGCCAGCCCAGCCTGCGGCCCCCACGCAGGCGGCGGAGGCCACGGTCGCCCCGGACCGAGGACGAGGACCGAGGTCGGCGAGGCTGGGGAGGCGGGAGTGGGCGGGGCAGGCAGTCACAGCAAGTCACCCGGCGGGGCCCTGACAACCTGGTGCTTTCAACTCTTAACTGATGGTTTCGGTTGGAGGGAGGCGCTTCATACCTGCCCAGCTTGGAGCGTCTCTCAGAATCTGCGCATGGTTTTGGCCTTGGTTTGGCAAGTTAAGGCTGTGCAGGCGGCGGTGATGACAGAGCCTGAAGAAGCGGCGGCAGACCGAGGCCCGGGGCCACCGGAGCCCCCGGCCTACGGCATGAGGACAGGATGAAACCCTCGGGCCGCCGGGCTGCAGTGGGCGGGGCGCAGCCCTGAGCCCCCGGCCCCTGGCCAGGCTGCAGGAGCCGTCTGCAGACTCCTCTGTCCCGGCAGGCCCCACTCCTGCCCCGGGCCAGGAGGGACGCGCGGGCTGACCACAGAGGAGGGCCAAGGACCGGTCAGCAGGGTCCAGCTTTTGCCTCCCGGGGCGGAGTGTCCTTGTCCCATAGCTTGTCCCTTTGCCACATGCTTGGATGGAGCAGCCCGGCCACGGCCGCCTCCTGAGCGCAGAGTCGGGCGTGCAGTGGGCCTCACCGCTGCCCACGAGGCTGCTCGGCCACGGGGCCATCTTACGAAGGAGGAAGGGAGAGGCTGCCCACAGTCCCCCAGGGGCAGGGCCAGCGCCAGGCCCTGGACCGGCGCCGTCTGGCTCCCCAGCTGCCCAGTGCTGCCGTGTCCTGGGCACACGGACATTTGCTTAGTTCTCTGGCCATGGTATTGTTCTTGCTGCGCCCGTGCCAATGAGCCGCCTTCGTGAGCGGTGGTCGTGTCGTGAAGCCTGTTCCCGGAGGGGCCGCTGCTCTTCCCAGGGGGCACGGGCGGCCTGCTTTGGGGCGGAAAGGGCTCCAGGAAAAGCCCATTCCTGGCCTTGGCTTCCACAAGGTCCTGTGCTTCAGCCCTTGTGCGCCAAGGGCCGGGGAAATGGGGCAGGAAGAGAGGGGAGAGAGGGTAGAAGAGGGACAGTGAAGACAAGAAGGAAAGGAGGCCCAGGGGCCTGGGGAGAGAGGTCCCCAGAAGCTGTGCTGCCCTCAGTAGCCGGGCTGGTGAGGAGCTCCGGGAGGTCCGGGCTGGACAGGGCAGGCAGACTGGGAGGGCTTCGCGAGCACAAGGCCTGGCACCTAACCAGCCCGCGTTCAGCGGTGAGCCGAGGGCCAAGGAGCTGGGGGCCCGGTGGTTGCCAGACCCACACAGATGTCCCTTTGCTTCACCCTGGCGCTCCAGAGGTGAGTGAGAGGCCCAGCCCCATGGCTTTGGAGCCTGGGACTTGGGTTTAAGCTGCTCGCAGGCCCGGGAGGGCAGGTCACAGGGGAGAGGCAAATTCAGGGAGAGGGGCCCTCCTGCCCTCCAGCTCTCTGCTTTCTTTGCAACCTGTGGCTGGGCTAGCATCGCGTTCACTGCCCAGCCCTGCTTCTTACTCCCAGGCTTTGGAGGGAGAAAAGATGAGCCAAGTGGACTCCAGACCATGTGGGTGGCTTCCACTGGACAGTGAATAGCAGCTTCAAAAGCACAGAGTCAACCGGCGGAACAGTGAGAGATGTGCCAGGGCCGTCCCTGTGCAGGCGTGCATGGTGGGGGCCAGCCAGTGAGTCCGGGTCCAAGCGCAGCCCAGGGCGGGCATCTCCCCACCTCCCGGCTCCAGGGACCCGAGACGCCACAGCCTGCCGAGGCCGCTGAGAGTGACAGCGTTACCAGAACGAGCTCCCAGCCAGGGTCCCAGGAACCTCACCCCTGGACAAGGCAGGCCTTAAGGGGGCTTTGCTGGAACCCAACTCAGGGGTGCAGCTGGCCCCGAAGGAGGAAGGGCAAGGCGGACAAACCAGCATGGGGTTCACCCCTGCCCACGCCTCCTGCCGACGGCTCCAGTCCCAGTTTGCCAAAAGCCTCGTCCCTGTGCCAGTCCCTCCCCACGGCGCGGGGCATCCCAGCCCGCAGCCCATCGGATGCGCCCAGCAGCCCTGCGGGACCAGCAGGCCAGGACTGAGGCGGAGAGAGGCCACTGTGCTCGGCGCCTGCTGTGACGACACACTGCTTCAAGCTCTCAGCGCTGCCTTTGAGAGGCTGGAGGCCCAGGGTCTGTGCGTGCGTCCCACACAAGGGGCTGACCCCACAGCCAGGACCCCGTGACCCCCAGGAGGTGCCGTGGGCTCGTCTCTAGGGACCCCACGGGTGCACCACGCCGACATCCAGCTTCCCTTGCAGGCTCTGTAGACCGGCCCGCTGCTCAGTGGGCCCCCCCCCCCCACAGGGACAGTCGCCAGTGACAGAACAGCCACCAGCTCCGCCGTTCCGGGCATTGCATGCGCACTCTCTCATTCCCTCCCCGACGGCCCCATGACGAAAGGTACTATCGTTAGCCCACTTTGACAGATACTAGCAACCGAGGCGGGCTTGCCGAAATCTGGCGGCGAACCAGGAGTAGGCCCAGAGAAAGGCCGCACTTCTCTCCAGGTAAGGACCTCCCTTGGAGGCCAGCGAGGCCGTCCTCCTCTGAGGAGGGGCCCCGCGCCCCGCTGCCCTTCCCTTGCCAGCCATACGCCGCTCCGGCCACAGGCTGTCAGGCCGAACGTCAGCTGCTTCTGTCTTACACACGTTCTTGCTTGACTGCCCCTGGATTTCTTTTAGGATCGGCTTAACTCCGCTCTGGCCCGACGGCCCCTGGGCCTCTGCTGTGTTTACCGAAGAGGCACTAGCTGTCTGCGGCGGCCTCCCCCGCACCCAAATCCCGGGCCATCTGCCTGGCCATGGGCACGGCCCCCCGACAGCCGAACCCCAGCCAACAGAGCTGGCCCTGCCCCAGAGCCACCGGGGCCACCGAGGCCGAGTCTCTCCGTGCCATCACAGGCCGGGCGGGCCCAGGGCCACTCACCGTGGTCTCATCTTCATGGAGCACCTGGTCGTAGCCGCTGAGTGCGACGCAGAAGATAATGGCTGTGACGTCCTCGAAGCAGTGGATCCACTTCTTGCGTTCAGATCGCTGGCCCCCGACGTCGAACAGCCTGGGGGGTGGGGGGAGACAGGGAAGCTGTGAGGGGTGGGCGGTGGGGCCCAGGAAGGTGTGGGGGCGCCTGGTCCAGCCCCAAGCCTCCTGGGGAGCCCCGCCACAGGCGCCGACGGGTGGACCGCTGCCATCTGCCCCGCGACCGGGCTGTGCTCACATGCCGGGGCTCGGACACCTGCCCTTGCAGCTCGAGAATCTTACACAGGGGGGCGCCTCGGCTGGTCCCCAGTAAACGCCTCCTCTCGGGGCAGCATGCACATCCTGTTCCTGGCCTTCCGCCTGTGTCTGGTCACATCTGTGGTCTGGGCAAACCCCAGACCAGCCTGGGGGGTGTCGGGTGGGCCGGGGCCGGCAGCCATTACGTGGAGGGAATGGGAGACTCCAAGGCATGAAGGGCCCGTGGTCCTGGCAAGGGCTGGTACAGTAGAGCGAGGGTCTGACCCGGATCTGTCTGCAGACAAAGCCTCACCTCTGCTCCGTGCCACCCCTCTCTGGCAGATGGCTCCCTGCTTCTCCCCCTCCAGGCACCACCCCCCCCAGGGCACACAAGGGCTGTGAGAGGAGACCACGGGCAGGTGGGACCACGTCCTGGAGGTAAGAGGTCGGTCTCCTACCCTCATGCCCTGAGCAAAGACCCACAGGCTTGTAGGCCTGGGCTCTGACCCGGTGTGCACGGGGACCCCAGGCCCTCCTGACAGGAGAACCACTGTGCGCAGAGGCCAGTAAGCTCCGGGCAAGGAAGCAGGTCGGGTTCCCGTCCTACCGCCGCCTCCCATGGGTCCTGCTTCCGCATCTGAAATACAGGGGCATGGCCCCTGTCCTCTGTGACCCTCCACAATGCTTATTCTTACACTCTGCCTGCTGGTTCCCCTCCCCGTGTCCAGAGGTGCAGGCTGGAGACACTGAGGAGGCCAGAAGGCGAGAGACACCTTGTGCGGCCGCGCAGCCCATTGCTGCACTCCCCAGGTTCAGGGGAGGCTCCTGTGTCCAGGGCTGCCTGCTGGGTCCAGGGCCCCCGAGAGAGACCCTGAGCCCCCTCAGTCTGTGTGAGAGCAGGCCGGGGCTACAAAGGCTGTGTGGGACCCAGCCCTCCCAGGCAGGGCAGGGGGCCACAAAGCAGGGCCTTACACCGGTCTACCGTCCTGTGGTCCCTGCCCTCCTGGCCTCTCCTTCTGCTCCGCGGACACCCAGAAACCACATCTGGAAGGTAGGCGGGGGCAGGACAGGGACTCTCAGGCCTCAGTACAGGGAGGTTAGCCCAGGTGGGGACACAACTCGCCAGGAAGGCGTGAGCGGTCCAGCGTCCTGCCTCAGGCTTCTGTTCTGAGGTGCTCTGAGCATCCGGACTTGAGTTGGGTTCTGTGCTTGGGGACAGCCTGGCTCCTCCCAGGCCTCAGTTTCCCCACATGTACCTAGAGGCGGTGGGTCGGCTGATCTCTAAGCCCCCTCCAGCTCTGAGATTATCTGGGGCCTTGGGGTCTCACAGACACTGCTTGGGCTTATCCATCCTCATTCCCTCCCCCTCCCACAAGGAGGCCTTCAAGGGGCCACGGGGGGATTTGCCCTCCTCCTCCTCAGAAGTCACCCAGGGACAGGACTCCCCTCCTTTGTCCACTCAAATCCTCCCTGTTCCTTGGAGACCCACTCCAGGATGCCTCTTCAAAGAAGACTCCTTGGTCGTCCTGGCCCCTGAACTCGGTGGAAGACAGACACACAGACAGGTCCCTTCTTATATCTAACTCCCTGTCCCAACTGGAGAGCTCCCTAAGGCGGACAAGATGAGGCCGAGAGGCTGGTGTCTCCCATCTGTCACAGTGCCCTCGCCAGGGTACGGGAGGCTCCCCGGGCCTCACCTGAAGTGGAGGTTCTTGAATGTGAAGTGGGTTTCTACGATGCCAGTGGTTTTGACCCTGGTTCGGAGTATATCCTGCTCGGTGGGCTGGTAGTCGGCGGCCCCAATCCGATCCAGGCTGTCCAGGTAGCTGGGGAGGGCAACACACAGGGGCCCTGGAACAAGCCAGCCCGGCCCCGGGCAGCGCCCCCTGGGGGCCGACCCTGGAAGCAACGGCGCCACCTCATCCCCTGCCCGGAGTTGGGGGCAGAGAGTGGGGGGGGGTGCCGACTGAGGAGCAGAGGCCTATGTCCTGCCCGCACATTCTCAAAGAGCCTCTAACCCAGACCAAGGGCTGTGTGCACAGTTCCAGGGGCGGTGCATTTAGAGAGGGTCAAACTCTTACACGAGACTAACATGTTTGTAACACTGCCGTGCCACGTCTTCATCTTAAAATAGTGGCCAACAGTTACATTTGACTCTTCGCACGTGTGATCACGTTTCAACCTTAACTGCCCTGAATTATATGTACCGTTTTATAGGTTAGACAACTGAGGGTCAACAATGGTAAGGACCGTGGTCAGCTGTGAGCCGGGGCTCGAACCTGGACACGTGGTCCACCCCTTAGCAGTACTCTCCGGTGCTTCCCGGAGGCCTCTGGGCATCCACCCGTCTTTCCAGACTTGCTGAGTCTACCGGGGCGTTGGCCCCATTTTCCCATCTGATGCCCTTGGAAGAGAGGCTCAGAGGTGAGGCCAGGCAGGGGCTGGGACCCATGTCTTTGGCATCAGGGCTCTCTTTTCACATCAGTACTGGCTGATGACCATGTCCTTGCACTTTACCCATCCAGGCCAGGCACCCCAAGAAGGGCTTTGGGGGTCTGTATGGGTTAGGTCTGAACCCAAAGTGAGGGTGGGATCTGGAAAACCAGGAAGGAGGGAGATGGGCCAGGCCTGAAGGATGGTTCGGTGACCCACAGGGCTGGCTGGACCTCCTACCCCCTCATGCGGGGTTCTGCCACACACAGCCCACAGGACAGGAGCCCCAAGGGTCCAAGCCCCAGGACAGTGTGGGGTCCCAGGTTGCGTGTGGAGCGGCTGCCCTTCATTAGCACTAGCCCGGGGACATGTGGGGGTCAGTTCCTCAGCTTGAGGATGCCGTGGGGCTGGAGGGCAGGGGACACGTTCACCATTGAGGGTTTCCACTGGTAAACCAATAATCCAGGCCCACCTCAAATCCTTGTGAGGATTTTCCCTAAAAAAATAAGACTGAATGAAGGATTCCCAGGGGCAGGAGGCGTAAGCTTGAGGTCACACTGTTAGAAAAGGGACCCTGCTAAGATTTGAGCCAGGATGTGCCGGACTCCAGATACCATGCTCTTACACAGGCCTCCAGGTCTCCTCTCCTCTGAGGAAGGAGGGGAGCGGGGGCAGCAGAGTGGACCCGGGGCTCTGGCTGCCTCAGCGTCTCCTGGCCAGGCCCCTGGGGGTGTCTGGGCTCTGGGCTCAGCCTGGAGGAGCCCCTCCCAGCCCTTCCCAACCCTCCTAACCCCTCTGGGCGTGACCCCTCGTAACCCCCTCCCACTGCCTCTGCTTAGGAGCCCTGCAGGTTTTGAAATGACCCTCGTTCTGTTGTCTCCAGCTGGACACCAGGACTGGGGAGCCTCTGGTCTTGGGCACCCCCTCTCCCGGGCCCAGCTGGGGAAACCTTCTTTAGACAGAAAATCTGGCCCTCTGTCTCCCTGTGCTGGCTGAGCCTCACACAGGGACATGGCCAAGGGAGGGGAGGGTGAGCAAGTGGAGGGGCACCTACTGAATGTACAACCTCCCCATTGTCCCGGGTGCTGGGGTGAGGCAACGAGCACGGCCGGTACAGTCCCTACCTCTTCAGAGCCTACATTTGTGGTGTGCGTGTGCGTGCGCATGTGTGTGTGAGATACTTAACAGTTAAGTAAGATCTAGAACATGTCAGGAGGAAAGACTGAGGCAGATGGTAAGCAGGAGGCCTGAGGAGGGTTGCTCTTGGACAGAAGGGAACTGGGGAGGGCAGGATGACACTGGAGTGGAGGCTGAGGGGTGCTGGGGTGAGCGTCTCTCCTTGCAGGTGCAGAGGCCATCCTGCAGTGGTGGGGGAGCCTGGGATGCAGGCCCTGCACAGGGGTGGCACGGTGGGAAGCACCCATCTGTGGCAGGGGGAGGGAGCCGTGGGGCTGGAGTGGGGTGATGGAGGCAAGGGTGGGGCGCAGCTTGTAGGCACTTGGGCTTTCACGCTGAGTGAGATGGGAAGCTTCTGGAAGGTTCTGATGAAGAGTGTGGGAACAACGACTCTGCTGCTATAAGGAGAACAGACCAGAGGGAGGAGTAGGGACACCTGTTGGGAGGTTGCTGCACCCCTGCAGGGGAGAGGCAATGGCAGGTCAGGGCGCCCCACACTGGCAGCTGTGCTGGGGTCTGGGGGAGGCGGGACGTGGGAGGCAGAGCCCATTAAAACCACCTCCTCGTGTGTATAACGAAGCTGCTCTTAGTGGGAGGAAGAGCGGGGGCAGAGCAGGTTTGGGGGAGGGTGGGAGCCGGGAGTCAGGTGGCATGTATTAATCTGAGATGTGCTGAGATGTCCGAATGGACCCGGAGGAGGCAGAACTCAGGAGGGAGGGCGGGGCTGGCCCCAGACAAGTGAGAGTTGTCCGGGTGTGTGAGGAATTGAGGGAGACGAGGCTGGAGAAGCTCACCCAGGCCCTCAGCGTGGACTGGAGGAGGTTCAAGGGCTCCAGAGAGGGCACAGGCAGGAAGTGGGGAGGGGGGTGTGCATGGGGTTGCCGCAAGGAGGGGTTGAGAGCCTGAGCACTCTCAGTGGGGTGCAGGAACAAAGCCTTGAGGGGTGGGCTCCAGAGAGAGGGCAGGAAAAAAAAACAGTCCTAACCAGACCATGAACTAGCTTGTAAAGCCCCTGCTTGGACGTGCTCAGGTTTCTGGGAGCCTAGGGCTTGTCTCAGCATCATCCAGAGGAGTGAGGGGACAGCCAACCCTGTCCACAGAGGCCTGGCTGCAGGGAGCCTGGCAGCATTGGTCACCTCCCTGTCCCCTCGGGGCCCTGGCGTCCTTACCTGTCAAGTGAGGGGATCGGGCTGGAGGACCTGGTGAAGGGCTTTGGGCCTCTGGGAGCGACTCACACCATCCCCCTAGAATTGGGCCCCGAGACAGCCCTATGGGGCTCCCTCTCTCTCTCTGTCACAACAAATCCACTGTTAACTATTTTGTATATCGCACCCAGGATTCTGTCAGAAAAGGGGATCTGGCTGCTAAAACCAGGATCGTAAAGCCACCCTGGACCAGGAAGGGTTTAAGGTCCTTCTTTACCTGACCGCTGTGGGTTCCGCCCTTGCCTGCCCCGGACCCTGTCCCAGAGACAAACACACAGAGAGAAGGAGCCAGGTTTCCTCAGCTGACTTGGTGGGGAGTTGACAAATACTGACTCAAATTTCTTATTGAAAGTTACAAAGGGGGGGCGCCTGCGTGGCTCAGTCGTTAAGTGTCTCCCTTCGACTCGGGTCATGGTCCCAGGGTCCTGGGATCGAGCCCCGCATCGGGCTCCCTGCTCAGCGGGAAGCCTGCTTCTCCCTCTCCCACTCCCCCTGCTTGTGTTCCCTCTCTTGCTGTGTCTCTCTCTGTCAAGTAAATAAATAAAATCTTAAAAAAAAAAAAAAAGAAAGTTATAAAGGTAACCACCAGAAGAACCACAAGTAATTCCCTAACTAGCAAGAAACTGGTCGTGGAAGTGGGGCAGAGATATGGGAGGTGGGCAGGTGAGCTGAACTCCTCCGATTCCATCCTGGAGGCCACTAAATACTATGGCAGGTTGGAGGGTCAGGTTTTCCTGGACAACACTGGGACAGAGAAACGGAAATAGTTAGAAGTTGGAGGGGGACAGCCCTGGGAGAAGGAGTTTACTATTAATTTTATACTTCTCTGGAGTGTTAAAAATTTCTTTTTTGCCATGTATTCATGTTATAATTAAATGGAGAGCACAATTTGATGGCTCAAGGCGAGTGAGGGGATGGGAAGGCCCTGGACTGGGGCCCAGCAGGGGCAGGGAAGCTGGTCCCCACCCAAACAGCTCCAGGGGACGACCTGGGTCTGTTGGAGGAGTGATTTGAGCGTGCACCGGCAGCTGTGGGCACAAACCCCCCGGGCTCACACCCCTGCCCACTGAGGTGTCCCAGGTGGCTCATCAGGGCCCGGGGCCCGGCTCACTACCACCTGGGACTCCCGGGACCTAGGGCTCACCAGCTAGACAGTCTAGGTGTACAGAATGGGAAGATGCTCTGGCCTTACTCAAGTCCCTAGTTTGGTAGCTGTCATCGTGGCCAACGGAAACGGCCCAATGTCCATGAGCAAGTGCCATTTTCTGGGCCCTCGCCTCTGCTACACCACCAGGGTGTAAGGCCAGGGTTTCTCAGGCTCAGCATGAGAAAGCTCAGGGTTTCTTTTGGCCCAGATGAGTCCTTGCTACGGAGGGCCATCTTATGCACTGTAGGATGTTCAGCCGCATCCCTGGCCTCTGTCCACTAGATGCCAGTACCACCGTCCAAGTCGGGACAATCAAGCATGTCTCCAGACTTTGCCAAATGTCTCCTGGGGGCAGAGTGGTCCCCGCAGAGCAGCAGGGGTGAGGATGGCTGAATCAGATGGGTGGCGGAGCACACACGTCCTAAGACTGTGGGTTTAAGCCCAGAGGCTCCCACTGACAATCCAGGCACAAGACTGCAAAAGTGGGGTGTGGTCCCAATGTCTCCAGGACAGAAGACATGTGCGCAGACAGCGTGGACCATTCCCAGGGGCGTGGAGCCCCGATCTAGGGAACAAGGGCATGTAACCTTAGGGACGCCTGCAGTGACGAGCTGCTGTCACCGGAAGAGCACCCACGGGCCACCTCCTCGGCCTCCCCCTTTGCCCCCTTCAGCCCTCTCTAGCCTCCACCGAGCCCCTTCCCTCCCCTCTCTCCCCTCTCTCCTTTCCTTCCCCGGATTTGGTTATAAGGCACTATCAAAGGATATGTTCGATTATCTCCTTATTTCCTTAGTCTTATTTGAAATATTCCAAGATAGAGGAATGGAACATGTGTTTCCTCTAAAATGAAACAAAATGAAACAAAAATGGCATCATGTTGACTATTTTCTGCCTTTATGGCTCTTGATTTGTACTTGTGGGGTCAGGGCTTCTCCAGAGGGAAAAAGCTGTTTAGACTAAAGACCTTCCTTCTGGAGTGCCAGGCCCTGTCCAGGGTAAGGTGGTGACGGGCCCTGCGCCCTGGGAGCCCTACTGTTAGCTGTCTCTTGTGGGCTCTGGCTCCCGGGCCCCGTCCTTACCCAGGGGGTGCGAGGAGAAGCCCTTCCGCTCTCCTTCCCGACACCTTTCCTGCCGCCCGTGGCAGTTCTGACCTCAGCCGAGGACCCCTCCCTGCGCGCCCGCTCCCTCCACGCTGGCCTCCGTGCCCTGCTGGTGGCCACCCCAGCCCCGAGACACTCACTATTTGGCAGAATCGTTGAGCTGATACTCCCGAGACCTGTTGAAGCACTCCTGGATTCCTGAGTCGCCCCAGAGCCGCATCATGGCGGAAAGCAGTTCGGCAGAGAAGGGCTCGGTGTCTTCCATCCGACTCACCACGTCACACACCATCTTGGCGTCAGCCTGTGAGGGGATTGGGGGGGGCGACTTTGAGGCACCAGGACAGCGGCTCAGCCCTCAGCCTGCTCAGGAGAAGCGGGCCACTAGACAGTGTGCACACAGTCTGGGGGACGAGGGCTGTCAGGGCCTGCGTTCCAACGCAGCAGTTCCAACCATGTCCCATGTAGCCTGAGCGTCTCCTGCGGGCAGGAGGGGAGCGGACAGGGCTCTGTTCTCCACCCGCCAGCTCAACCAGGGCAGCCCTGCTTTCACCTAGTTCAAAACCTGGGGTTTTGCAGAGTATTTGTTTTTTGGGAAAAAAAAATCATTGTTCTTGTCTAAAGTAATTTTTCTCTACTTCTTACCCAGGTAGAACAAAGTCCCTGGAATTGGGCAAATCAGGGAGAGGGACATTTTGGTTACTTGAGAATTCCAGGTAGCTGAGGGACTGGGCCCCCGGGGAGCTGTGCCCTGGGGGAAGGGGCATGAAGACGCTGGTCGTCCAGTTATGTCAATATTCAATGTCAAGAGCTTAGGCCCTTGGCTGGCCCAAGGTTAAAACTCATTTTTTTTTTTTTTTTAAAGATTTTATTTCTTTGTTTGGGTGGGGGGGCAGAGGGCAAGAAAGCAGACTCCGCACTGAGCAAGGAGCCTGACACAGGGCTCAATCTCATGACCCTGAGATCATGACCTGAGCTGAAACCAAGAGTTGGCCGCTTAACCGACTGAGCCACCCAGGCACCCCCAAAACTTAATTTTATTAATTTTTAGTTACTTATTTGCCTTTGACCTATGGCCTACCTCTCCCCGGGGGCCAGGGATGTCCAGACCCAGTTAAACAAGGGAAGGGTTGAAGGGTGAATAAAGAGACAGGGAGGGACGCCTGGGTGGCTCAGTTGGTTAAGCATCTGCCTTCGGCCTGGGTCATGATGCCAGGGTCCTGGGATCGAGCCCCACGTTGGGCTCCTTGCTCAGCAGGGAGCCTGCTTCTCCCTCTCCCTCTGCCTGTCACTCCACCTGCTTGTGCTCTCCCTCTCTCTCTATCAAATAAATCAATAAAATCCTCATTTAAAAAAAGAGAGAGAGAGAGAGAGGGAGTTTGCCTTTCTCTGCCCCCTCCCCTTCCTCCTTCGTCTGAGGGGCTGCGATTTGCCCAAGGTGCACCATGGAGGCTGAGACCCTGCTGGACTTGCATAAACGGTATGGCACAATGAACAGGTGTCTTCCGCCTTCCCTTCCTCTGGGAACCAAGCAGGGTCACCGTCCTCAGAGACGATGGATCACGTACATGTACCCCCCCCAAACCGGGAAGGCAGTGGTCTCTGAAGACGCAGAGGCTCTTGGAGCAGTCTCAGGACCTCCCCCGTGCCAGCACCTTGCACACATGCGGCACTTCACGGCCTACAAAGCACGCTCCTGCGCACACACACACCCCTCATGGAGGGGCAGTGGGAGACTGCATTAGTCTCTCTCTCCGCCTCTGCCTGAGCCCATGCCCTTTGCCTCGTGTCTCTGCAGTTCCTGCCCCCTGGATGCAGAACACAGTTCCTCTGTCCTTGACTGTGAGTGGCTGTGGGCCCTGCTCCGGCCCATATAAGGATGTGGAAATTCCCCAGCCAGCCCTTCCGAGGCCTTGCACAGCCTCGCTTGTCCTGCTGGGTGCCCCCCATCATCATGAACACACCCGGGCTCCCCCGTTCATCCCAGCAAGAGGATGAGGGACGCACGGAGCACAACGGAGCCACCCCGGGTCTCTGATCCCCAGCTGAACTCCTGCCCCACGAAAAGAAATAATTGCTGTTGCAAGTGACCGAGTTAGGGGAGTTTGTTAGTACTGTTGTGGCCATCACTAACTAGCACGGTAGTCACTGTGTTACTATCCCCATTTTACAGGTCAGGAAACTGAGGGCCCGAGAGAGGTAGGCACTTGCCTATGCTCACAGGTGGGAAGTGCCGGAGCTGGGACTCGACATCAGGAGGCTCCGACCCCAAGGCCAGCCTCTGGGATAAAGACCCACAGTGCTGAGAGCAGCTCCCAACTGCAGCACCTGGATGGCCGACAGGGCCTGACGCAGGACCCACAGCAAGGGCGACAGGCGTTAGCCACAGAGTCTGTGCTCCATTTGAGAGGGCTGCTGCTTTTCACGTCGAGATTGGAGCAGGAGATGCTGCGGAGGCCCATTCACACCTGGGCGCCTGTCTCGCTGGTCTCAGGGGGTTCCCGAAGAGGGAACCCAGCTCCCCGGCTTTGCCTCGGGGGCACTCTGCTCCCGGGCGGCAGGCTGCGTGGTTTGGGAGTTGGCGTTCGGGACTGACAGGAGTCGGCGGGCACACAGCCGGGCTTCCTCGCCCTCACGGGGAGGTGATTCTGAGATGCGTCTGCCAGGCTTTCAGAGGATGCCTGGGGTCCCGAGCCCTGGCTGCCCCAAGCCCCCATCCCTGTCCCCTGCCCTGCACGACATCCCCTCTCCCTGTTTCCCTCTCTTCCCTGTGTCACTTCCCCTGAGATGACCTCCCCAATAAACTCCTGGGCTCAGGGTCAACTTCTCGAGGAATCCAAATCAGGACAAGAAGGTGCCCGTCTGAGCCCAAGCCCCGGGCAAAGCTTACCGGCCGAGTCTGCACACGTTTCTCCCGTGACAGGGCCTGCCTCAGATCACTCTCCTGACCACCCCATGCGGCCCCTCAGCACAATACCCCGGAGGGCTCTGAAGAACAGGTCTGCCTCGTGGCCCCAGGGGGACGTCCCAGTGGCAGGGCAAGAGGTGTGGCTGGGAGTGCGGGGCCATGCAAGGAACCGGTGGCACGCTGGCCCCTTTGTGTTCACAAGCGCACAGTCCCGCGGGGCCCAGCCCAGCTTCCAGTGCAGGGCAGGAGTCTGGGGTGGGGGGCAGGTGTGCGAAGCTAAGGTAAGGAAGCCGTGAGGTGGCCGGCGGGCAAACGCCCTACTCTGGGCCGGCTATGTGCTTCCCTTGGGATTCTTCAGTAGGGTCAGCCTGAGAGGATGTGCCCCCAGAGTCAGCGGTATCACTAAGACCCATGTCCCACTCCTGGGGAAGCCCCTAAGAATGAAGCTACCAGAAAGCAGCAGGAAAGCACTATCGTGTTCAGGCCCCCGACAAGACACGGGGCACTGGGAGAGGCAGGTCCAGGGAGCTGAGTGGGTGCAGGGCAGAGTGGGCCCCGCGGCATCCACCTGGGCTGAGCAGTTGGTGTCAGCATTCCGGGGACCCCTCCAGCTGCCTTTCCCCCATTTTCAGCGTGCACGGGTTGGAGCCCACCGTGGGGCTGAGCCCTTGCTGGGGGTTGGGAGTGGGGTGCCCCAGGCCTGCCATATCCCTGACCTCTCGGGTCCTCTGGTGTCGGGTCTTCATCACTAGTTGATCACTCTACCCTCAAGCCCTTCCAACCCCCAGTCCTCTGACTGAGCTAGAGGAAACACAGACTACTTCACCCGTGTCAGGTGATTCAAGAAGTGAGGGAAATTGCTGGAAATCTGCAGGTGTTCCTTGGGTGGGGAGAGACACAACGGAAATGAGGCTTAGCACTTGGGCACTCTGTGGCTGACAAAAGATTCTCTACAAAAGGTAAGTGGGGCCAAAGCCTTCTGTGGAGACTTCCCAGAAGTGAGCTGTCCAGCTAGGTAGCTATTTACGCGTCAGAGGCCCGTCTACTGCGGAAAGTGGGTGGGCAAGTTTGGCGGCTATCTACCTGGGGCAGAGAGCTACAACGGGCTTGGAGGCTAGCAGGCCAAGCCCACAATGCCGGCCAGCCCAGATCCACCTCCCTCGGGGTACTGTCCCAAAGATCCCGAGCCACCCACAGCTGACACGGAGGGCTGCCCACCAAGACAGGATGGCTTCCCAGCTTCTGAAACGTGCTGGAGATGAGTTTCTGCAGCATCTGAGCCTCCCCGGGGCCACGGGCCTGGAAAGCTGGCCCCGGGGCCTGGGTGATGGGTGCCCTAGGCAGGCAGTGACTCAGGCAGGGTGGGTGAGCAGGGGTGCTGCCTCCACCTGGGGCTAAAAACAGGCCTATGAATCAGGGGCCTACATGCTGACGCTGCTCTCGAGTGCCTGGGTGACCTTGGGAGACCTCGGTCTTCCTCAGCTCTCCCTCCGTGGGCCTGCTATCTGTCCTATCTGTGGCCTGCAGCTGGTGAACCTGGCCAGAGCTTTCCCAACTTCCTCCTTTGGGCCCCACCTTCCCGGTTTCTGCCAGGTCTGTCAGAAGGGAGTTGGGAAGGGAGTGAGGGGGGGAGACGCCCTCTCATCTGAGTGCCTTGGAGCCACACCACGCCTCCCAGCCAGGGGTGGTTTACAAACCACAGCCACTCTCACCTCCTTTGTTGATCTCCCCACCTGTGTCCTGGAATTCCAGCAGGATGACTGCACAGCTTGGGGAAGGCTGGAAGAGCTCTCCTGCTGGGAATTCTCCAGGGGACAGCCCAGGGGCTGGAGCTGTCCTCCCAGCTTCCTCTAACCCCCAAGGTGCAGCGGTGCTGGGGGTCCTGTGCCGGCAGCGACTCCCCGCTCCGCCGCCCCCAGCTGCCCTTGCTGTTCCTGTCCGGTCTCCCCCAGCCCAGTGTCTGGCACCCCCACTAGCCCAGCGGCTCAGACGCAGACTAGGCGTCGTCCTTGGTTCGGCTGCTTCCCTTCCATGTCCGGGGTCCTGCTGGATTTTCTGTCAAAGCTGTTTGCAGTCAGACCACTTCTCCCCATCTTCTCACACGTCTCCCCGGGGCCAAGCCAGCACCGTCTTTCTCCTGGCTACCCTCAGTCCCCCTCCCAAGGGCTCCCTCCCTCCCTTGCTTCTCTCTTGTCTGTTCCTCGCACGGTAGCCAGCAGGAGACTGTGAGTGTGACATCAATTCTCCCTTAGAAAAAGAACTGAGCACACTGACATCCACATAAAAGACTGCAATTCCTAGCTTTGCTTGCTGCTGGGTGTGGCCAAGTGACAAGTTCCACCCAATGAGAGGTCAACCAAAGTAGAGTGGAAGTTGCACCCTTTTCTCTCACTTCC